AGCAGAGTGCTAGATTGGAGAAGGAGCAGCTGGGACTCGAACTGACCCCCATACAGGATGCTAGTACTGCAGGTGGAGGCGTTATCCCCGATGCCACAGTGCTGGCCCCATAGAAATGGGGTGGGCATTTGGAGCAGCAGTTAAGACACTGCTTGGGAAGCCTGCATCCCGTATCTGAGTGTCTGGGTTGGAGTCCAGGGTCTGCTTCCTATTCCAGCTTCCTACTAATGCATTGCCTGGAAGGCAGAGGGGGTGGCTCAAGTACTTGTGTCCCCACCAGCCATGTGGGAGACCTGGACTGAGTTCTGGGCTCCTGGCTTCAGCCTGGTCCATCCCTGGCTCTTGTAGATATTTGGAGAGCAGATGGAGGCTCTCATTCTCTGTCTACCAAATAAAATGAAAATAAAAACTTTTAAAAATTAATAGTAGGCCTGTCATAAGACTATCTGGTGCTTTTCATTTCTTCCTGTAGAACAGCATTTCTGATGTGATGTTATTTCCCATTACCATGAAGAACATCCTTTAGTTTTTCTTGTCTTGCAGGTCTGCTGTTTGTGGATTCTGTTAGCTTTTGTTTATATGAATGTTTGTTGCCTTCAGTTTGTTTTTGTTTTTGTTTTTTGACAGGCAGAATTAGAGAGAAAGGTCTTCCTTTCTGTTGGTTCACCCCCAAATGGCCGCCACGGCCGGCACACAGCGCCGATCTGAAGCCTGGAGCCAGGTGCTTCTCCTGGTCTCCCATGCGAGTGCAGGGCCCAAGCACTTGGGCCATCCTCCACTGCCTTCTTGGGCCACAGCAGAGAGCTGGACTGGAAGAGGAGCAACTGGGACTAGTACCCGGGGTGCCGGTGCCACAGGCAGAGGATTAGCCTAGTGAGCCGTGGCACCGGCCTTTGCCTTCAGTTTTGAAGCGTAATTATCTTGGAGATAATATTCCAGCTGATAGGTGTTTTTTCCCCTTTCCTTGCTTTAAGGGTGTCATTCTCTTGTTTTCTGTTTTTCACTTTTTTCCCTAACATTTATTTATTTGAAAGGTAGAGTTACAGAGAAAGGGAGAGGGAAAGGGAGAAGGAGAGACAGAGAAAAGATCTTCCATCTGCTGGTTCACTCCCAAGTGGCCATTACAGCTGGAGCTGGGCTGATTCAAAGCCAGGAGCCAGGAGCTTTCTCCAGGCCTCCCACATGGGTACAGGGGCGCAAGGACTTGGGCCACCTGCTGCTGCTTTCCTAGGTGGGTTAGCAAGGAGCTGGATTGGAAGTGGAGCAGCCAGGACTTGAATTGGTGCCCACATGGGATGTTGGCACTGCAGGCAGTGGCTTTACCTGCTAAGCCACAATGGTGGCCCCTTGTTTTTCATAGTTTCTGATGAGAAATCAGCCAATTTTTGTATCAGTGACCTCCTATGTGTTAAACGTATATTTTTCTTTAGATCAATTTTGAAATTTTCTGTTTGAGTTTCAGTAATTTGCCTATTATGTACTAGTTATTTTTTTTTCCTTTTTTTTATTTTTTGACAGGCAGAGTGGACAGTGAGAGAGAGACAGAGAGAAAGGTCTTCCTTTGCCGTTGGTTCACCCTCCAATGGCCGCTGAGGCCAGCGCACCGTGCTGATCCGATGGCAGGAGCCAGGTACTTATCCTGGTCTCCCATGGGGTGCAGGGCCCAAGCACCTGGGCCATCCTCCACTGCACTCCCGGGCCACAGCAGAGAGCTGGACTGGAAGAGGGGCAACCGGGACAGAATCCGGCGCCCCGACTGGGACTAGAACCCTGTGTGCCGGCGCCGTAAGGCGGAGAATTAGCCTAGTGAGCTGCGGCGCCGGCTAGTTATTTTTCTTTATATTTATCCTGCCTTGGGTTCACAGAACTTTTTAGGCCTATGAGGGGACTTAAAAATTAATAAGAGGGTCTGGCGCTGTGATGTAGCGAGTAAAGCTGCTGCCTGCAGTGCTGGCATCCTATTTGGGCACTGGTTCAAGTCCCAGCTGCTCCACCTCCCATTCAGCTCTCTGCTATGGCCTGGGAAAGAAGTAGAAGATGGCCCGAGTGCTTGGGCCCCTGCACCCATGTGGGAGACCTGGAAGAAGCTCCTGGCTCCTGGCTTCAGATCGGTGCAGCTCCGAGTGTTGTGGCCAGTTGGAGAGTGAACCAGCAGATGGAAGACCTCTTTCTCTCCCTCTCTGTCTGCCTCTCTGTATAACTCTGACTTTCAAATAAATAAATAATCTTTAAAAAATTCATAAGAAACAAAATGTTTATTTTGGCACAAAATTCTTGAAATTCATACATAGTTTTTCATAATACAAATTTTCCATGAACTTTCTAAAGAAAGAAAAGTTTTTTCACCTAATTTGGGAAAATTTTAGCTATTGTTTTTTAGTGTCTTCTCTGTCTTGTTTTCCCTCTCTTTTTCTGGAGCTCCAATTGTATGTTTTTTGATATTGTACCACAAATCATTGAGACTTTTTCATTTTCCTTTTTTTCCTTGGTTCATCAGATTGGATATTTGCTATTGATCTATCTTCAAATTTGCTGAGGTTTCTTTAAATTTATTTATTTGAAAGGCAGAGTCACAAAGAGAGGGGGAGAGACAGAGATCTTCCATCTGCTGATTCATTCACCAAGTGGCCACAACGCTGGAGCTGGGTCCATCTGAAACCAGGAGCCAGGAGCTTCTTCCGGGTCTCCCATGTGGGTGCAGGGGCCCAAGCACTTGGGCCATCTTCTACTGCTTTCCCAGGCTCATTAGCAGGGAGCTGGATCAGAAGTGGAGCAGCCAGGACTCGAACCAAAGCCAATATGGGATGCCAGCACCGCAGGTGCTGTGGTTTAACCCACTACACCACAATGCCAGCTTCTGCTGACTTAAGAGGTCTGCAGTTTGCTGTTAAACTACCTAGTGATTGATTTCCAGTTATTGTACTGCTCAGATCTAAAATTTCCATTTGCTGTTTTTCATAGCTTTAGTTTCTGTGTTAAAATCGCCTGTTAATTCATGTAACACTGTTTTGCTTTAGGTTCTTGAACACATCTTCAGTAGATGCTTTTTGCCTTTATTCACTAAGCCCTGTATCTGGTTCTTTTGGGGGCCAGGGTATATTGATTTTTTTTTTTTTTTTTTTTTTGCTGTGGGTCATTCCCTGCTTTTTCTAGGTCTAATACTTTTTTATTACATAGTAGACATAGTGAATGGTTAGCTGTGGAGATTCTGGACTTTGTATGTTCCTCTAAAGTGTGTAGATTTTCATTCTAGTGGATAGTTAGCTTGGAGGACATGAACACAAACTGTCTCCTCTGTAGACTCAGCTAAAATCTCTGCTCAGTTTTTCTAGCTGCTATTGTTGTCAAGCCTCCAGGAGTCAGTGAAATCCCAACAAATTTGGGTTTATTCCCTTTATGGTTCTGTTCTTCGCAGCTGCTCTGCCAGTTCCAAGCTGTGTTCTTGCAATCAATTAGACTGGCTTTTTGTCACTCTGCGATGTGTGGGTTGTGAGGCACAAACGTACACATCTCACCTGCTGTTATTAGGGGTGACTTCTTAATCCTTTTTTTTTTTTTTTTTTTTGACAGGAAGAGTGGATAGTGAGAGAGAGAGACAGAGAGAAAGGTCTTCCTTTTGCCGTTGGTTCACCCTCCAATGGCCGCCACGCTGTGGCCAGCGCACTGTGCTGATCCGAAGGCAGGAGCCAGGTGCTTTTCCTGGTCTCCCATGGGGTGCAGGGCCCAAGCACCTGGGCCATCCTCCACTGCACTCCCTGGCCACAGCAGAGAGCTGGCCTGGAAGAGGGGCAACCGGGACAGAATCCGGCGCCCCGACCGGGACTAGAACCCAGTGTGCCGGCGCCGAAAGGTGGAGGATTAGCCTAGTGAGCAGCGGCACCGGCTTCTTCTTAATTCTTTTGAAAGAACTTTCAAATAGTCATTAATTTTTTAAAATAATTTGAGAGACAGAGATGAAGAGTTCTCATCCACTGGTTCACTTCTCAATGGCCCACAATGACTGGGCGTGGGCCAGGCTGAAGCTAGGAACCAGGAACTCAATGCAGGTCTCCCACCAGTGTGACAGGGCCCCAAATACTTCAGCCACTAGTGCTGCACCACAGAATCTGCATTAGAATCAGGAGGCAGGCACTGAACCCAGGCACTTTGAAATAAGATATGGGTATCTTAATTCCTAGGCTAAACAGCTAAACATCTAAGACCATCAGGCTGAGCTCAGGAACCTTTCAACAGAGGTATTAGGAGCCCTGCCTGAAAGGAGCTGGGCCTGGGCAGGAGGATAGGATTAGTTTCTGGCTATGTGAGAAGAGATCAGATTGAGATTCTATAGATTGGGTTTTGAAATCTGGTTCTGGCTGTCACTAGCTCTGTAAACTTGGTAAACTTGGAACATGGAGTATGAAAAAATAAATATCTTTGTGTCACATTTCCTTATTTATAAAATAAGGATAATGTTGTCTTTTCTAGCTACCCATCAGAGCTCTTTTCTGAAGATCCAATGGGATCATCATATGTGAAAACGCCTTAAGGTGAGAGACCGTTTATTATTTCCACTTAATATTCCTCTATGCTGCGCAGATGATCCGGTAACATACATGAAAGAGACTTAATCTCCAGGAACTGCTGGGTATTTATGTAGCAAATAAGTAAAGTGAAATAATTTTATTATCATTATGTTGTAGACTATTAACGAGTAAAAACTCATGAGCCAAGGAAGGGTTGAGGTTTGCATATCATAATAAGTGGGAGGGGAAATACTGTAAGACAAGGGGAAGGAGGTGTCAGAGAAAAATACTTACGACGTTGTGTAAGCATTGTAAAAGATAATACATACCGTGCACTCCTCTTTTGTTGCTGTTGCTGTCCTAGGTGACCACTTCACTCTCACAACTGTAGAATGGTAACAAAATGCACCCATTTTAGTGTGTGGGGTGGAAGGAAGCTCAGGCTGACCCTGCTGTTGAACTGATGCGAATAAGTCTTTCTGGAGCCTGTGGTTCCTTAATCATGTAGAATTTATTTAAAAAGTAAATCCAGTATTGTGAGAGGGGGAGTAGGGAAGACAGGACAGAGAAGAATGGGAAAGGAAAGGTATTTGGAACCATCCTGTCTGATGCTCAGGCAGAGAGAGATGTGATTATCTGTTGACTGAGGAAGAAACAAAATATAAATGAGCTGACTAGGGCGATGAAGGCCTTGTGCTGCCTGAGTCAGAGCAAGCAACAAGGGCATAGGCTTCTAGACCTTGTTGCAGAAAGATTGATTCCGGCAGCATACAATTTGCATCCTGGTTCCGTGGGAGAAGAGGTTCATAGATGGGCACAAGTTCTCACACCCTTGAACCATGAATTGGAGTTTTCCACCTGAAAGAAGAAGAGACAGACTGTGTGAGCAGAAGGCTTCCTCCTGCAACTGTAGCCTTTATCCATAGTCCCCATGTCTCCACGCAGGGATGGCCAAGACCTCCACTTAGGTATTCTTCCTCCACTTCCCCTCTGTCTGCCTCCTCTAGGACCTTTCTCCCATGGGTTTCCCATTCCTTTCTTTAATGTCTTCTTCTCCACGGTCTCCATTTTCATTTATAAACATGTTCAAGTTCCTTCAAACTCAAAAATACTCTTGGACTATGCTACTGTCCTACTCTCCCCCCTTACCTCTCCAGAGCTGGCTACCCTCACCTTAACTTCCTTCCCATTCACACATTGGCCCGCAGTACTCTGAATCGACACCCCACTGTGCTGAAAGTTGCCTCTCAAAGGTCACTTTAGGTCCACCCATCGAATTCTGTGCCCTTTCTCGGGACTCTTCTTGGCCACGCACATGGTGCTGTTGACTGCACCCTCTTTCTTTTCTTGACTCTGTCTCTGTCATGATCTTTCCCAGTATTCTGTCTACTCCTCTGGGGATATTTACTCTGTCCTCTCAAGTTCAATTCTCCCATTTCCAACTAACTGAATGTCATCTCCATGGTGCTAAGGACATCTAAACTGTTTCCAAAATGAAACTCATTGGCTTCCTCTTCAAACTGCCTTGTTTTCCTTGTATATTGTGTGTACCACCTTCTCGAAACCTCTGTCAGTTGATGCCTGAATTCCATTCCCAGAGATCCTGATTGTTTTGATGCAGCCAGAGCATTAGGATTTTTAAAAAGCTGCGCAGGGTGCAGCCACTTACCAATCTGTAAATATCCCCCAAAGCCTTTCTTTCTGTTTTAAAAGATTATTTGTTCATTCGAAAGGCGGAACAACAGAGAGATGGGGAAGAAGGGTGGAAGGGAGGGAGGAGGAGGGAGGGGGCTGAGGGGGGGGGAGAGAGAGAGAGAGAGAGAGAGAGAGAGAGAGGTGTCTTCCATCAGCTGGTTCACTCCCCAAATGGCTGCAACCACCAAGGCTTGACCAGGCTAAAGCCAGGAGCCAGGAGCTCTGGGTCTCCACATAGGTGGCAGAGGTCCATGTACTTGGGCCATTTTCTGCTGGCTTCCCAGGCATATCAGCAGGAAGCTGGATCAGAAGCAGAATACCTGGGACCTGAACTGCCGTTCCAGTATGGAATGCTGGCATGGCAAGCAGCAGCTTAACCCACTGCATCACAATGCTGAGTTCCCTCAAAACCTTGTCCAAATACCACTTCCTCCACAGACCTTCCTGCACCTCACATCTTGCCTTCCCCTAAACTCCCAGAGCTTTATGTGTGCTTTCTTATGACACCATTTTATCCTCTGTGATATTATTTCACCTATCTTATTTTAGACCATAATCTATTTACACAGTCTGTGTTTGATTAATCCTTCTGTAAGAATTCATGGTATGTGACATTTGTATTTATTAGATGATGGTGGATGAGTGAAGGCACACATGTAGAAATGTGAGCATGATTACATTTTTTTACAATGCATAATCCTTGATGACAGTAAATGGCTATGTGACTGGCTTACACAGTCAACACACTATAAGTTTTACTGCTCTCTTAGAGTGACTATAAATATACATGTTATATGTGTTATTATGCCAACATATAAATGCAGAGAGGGAGAGAGAAAGGCTATAGGGATTGGCTCACACATATTGTGGAGGTTAAATCCCAAGATCTGCAATCAGCAACCTGGAGTCTGAGGGGAGGAGAAGGCCAATGTTGCTGTTTGCAGACTGGAAGATTGCATTTCAAACAAGAGACCATCAACTACAAGGAGGGTCAGGCAGTGTGGTTCATGGGATGAAAGTAACTGACATCTCTTACTTTCTTATTTTTAAGTTTTGAAATATTTATTTGAAAGGCAGAGAGAAAGAAAGAGAGAGAGAGAGAGAGAGAGAGAGAGATCTTCTATCTTCTGGCGCATTCTCCAAATGCCTGGATAGCCAGAGCTGGATTAGGCTGAAGCCAAGAGCCTGGAACCCAATCCAGGTCTGCCATTCAGGTGGCAGGGACCCAGGTACTTGTGCCATCATCATCTGCTGGCTCCCAGGGTGTGCATTAGCAGGAAGCTGGAATTAGAGTGGAGCTGGGGTTCTAACCCAGGCACTCTAGTATCAGATGTGTGCATCCCAAGAAGTATCTTTTTTTTATTATTATTACTTATTTGAAAGTAACAGAGAGAGAGGAACACACATACACACACAGATCTTCCATCTGTTAATTCATTCCCCAAATGGCTATACCGGTGGGGGCTGGGCCAGCCAAGAAGCCAGGAGCCTGGAACTCCATCTGGGTCTTCCACATGGGTGGCAGGGGCTCAAGTATTTGAGCCATCTTCCACTGCTTTCCCAGGTACATTAGCAGGAAGCTGGATTTGAAGTGTAGTGCTGGAGTCAAAGTGGGAGATTGGCATTGCAGTTGACAGCTTATGCTGTGGCATAGTGGCTACCCTAAAGATTTATTTCTTTGAAAGGCAGAGTTAGAGAGAGAGAGGGAGACACACACACACACACACACACACACACAGATCTTCATCTGGCTACAACACCTGGGGGTAGGTCAGTCTGAAAGCTGGAGCCAGAAACCCCATCCTGGTCTCCCATATGGGAGGTAGGGGCCCAAGAACTTAGGCCATCTTCTGCTGCCAAGCAGTGTCTTAACCACTACTCCAAACACCCCCCACCACCACCACCACCCAAGATGTCTTATGGTAGAAATGAGGAGTGTAAGGGTAGAGAAGTATAGGAATATACACAGACAAGTCTGACCACCTGTGAGTATAGATTTGTTACCATTGTTTATTACTTTATTCAATGTCATTCAATATTTATTCATCCAATATTTACTAAATTCATGGACATTGTGCTAGGTGCTAGGAACATATAGGCATGAAGAACAAGATAGAAACAGTCCTGAATAAGCACCTGGCTCCTGGCTCCTGCCATCGGATCAGCGCGGTGCGCTGGCCGCAGCACGCCGGCCGCGGCGGCCATTGGAGGGTGAACCAACGGCAAAGGAAGACCTTTCTCTCTGTCTCTCTCTCTCACTGTCCACTCTGCCTGTCAAAAAAAAAAAAAAAAGAAACAGTCCTGAGCTTACAGTCAAGGTCTCAGTGCCTCAAAAGGCAAGTCACATGTTTCATTAAGGAGAAGAGAGAGCCAGTCTCCTAGCCTCCTTTCAGAAAATCTTAGACCTGCTGGGAAGGGCCTCTACTTTTCCATAAGTACCTAAGAGTCTACTCTTTTTTTTTTTTTTTAAGATTTACTTTATTTGAAAGAGTTACAGAGAGAGGTAGAGACAGAGAGAGAGGTCTTCCATCCACTGGTTCACTCCCCAGATGGCTGCAAGGGCTGGAGCTGTGCTGATAGGATTCTGCTTTTAATCTCTGAAAGATAAGAGTGATTCTCCAAGTCCCTTGATCCCTCCTTAGGCCCTGCCATGCTGCTGCCCCCTAGCAGTTCTTAAGTTGCTTGATGTATTCTTTGACAAAAAATTGCCTCATGAAGTCCCCACATACCTTCAAAGATCTTCTTTAGCATACACTGCTGGGAATTCTCAATGGTGCAGACTCCCTCTCCACGAAGACATTTTCCTTGATCATTCATGAAAGCACACGTGTGGCAATTTACTGCACCTGAAAAATTTAAGATATGCCTGATGACATTTCTGTATGGGCCAGGTGTGAGTCACACATCTGGGGAGGCATGAAGAATAGCAGATAGCCTGGATCCAAGACATTCATTTCTTGATCCTTGTTGGGGACCTGAGACCCTGTGTCTCTTAGTGCATATTCTTTTTTGGTGTCAGGGAAACTCCTTATTCTCACTGCTTTGTCTACCTATGGCTGTCATTGCTGATGAATCTCGAATTTGTCTAATACTGACTTACTCTAATCCATACCCCAATGGCTTCCTAGACATCTATGATTCTGTCATGTCCGACACTTAATAGGAACAATGTATTGTGTGACTGGCTCCCTTTCATACTCCTACCCACAAGGCACAAACACTTTAAAGAGTCAAATTTGACTAATTAGTAAGCTATGTTTGAATGTTCTAGCTCTGCAAACCCTGTAACAAGTGTGCAATACTCTCCATACTCAAATTGACCTATTGAAGGTTACTGGAGCTATTCTCTGTAAAATGCTTCTATATTGCCTCATTTACTATCTCAACTGCTAATCTAGCTCAGGGAACATAGAGAAGTAGAAAGAATATGGGCTTTAGAAAGAGCTAGGTTTATATCCAAGATCTACCACTTCCTATGCACGTGACATTTGGAATATGACTTTAGCCTCAGTTCTGTCATCTGAAAAATTATAATAAAAGTGCTGTGTAACCAGGTGAAAGATGAAGCATTTATGTCTAGTAATAACTGAGGCATCAAACTTGGGTCTTGTTTTCCTTTCTCGAATACCATTTTTTAAGTAAGAGCCAGAAGACTGCAATTGTCCTGGGAACTTATTTCTGGATGTAACAGGCAAAACCATCTGCATGCTTCATGTGTTCAAAAAAGAAAAGATAAAGAAAGAACCACCAGCTGCAGTGCTAGAACTCTGTGGGGTCTACAGATAGCGTCTTCACACAGTCTGAGGCAGGCAGGTTTAGATGAAAGCTAACAAAGGTTAGTCTTCAGAACTCTGCCCGTCCCTGAGCCCCTTCCAGGGGGGTCATGGGCATATGTATTCCTAATTTCTTGTGGGAAGTGGAGTTGGAGGCACTACTGGCATTTTGGCTTTGAGCTAGTTTTCTTAGAGAGAGGCCTTCCTCCAAACTGTTTAGCCTGCAACACCACCTAAAACCTGGAGCATGCCTCCTGGCATCAGCGTGCAGACACCTGTGGGAGAACTGCTTGGGAAGTATTACCAGCTCTTTCTCCTGTGCCATTGACCTAAAATTGTTTTTTCTGACTGTCCGCACTTGCCACCTGAAGACAAGGACTGGCTCTGGCCCAACTGTGGCTCACCTGAGGATGTGCTTGCACTTGGTGCACTTGAAGGCTGTTCCATCGTGGGCTTTTCAGCTGAAGCCTGTTCACCCGAAGCAGCAGCCTGTTCACCCGAACCGTGTTCACCTGAAGTGACGACGGCCTGTTCACCTGAACCGTGTTCACCTGAAGTGGCGGCCTGTTCACCCGAACCATGTTCACCTGAAGTGACGGCCTGTTCACCCGAACCATGTTCAGCTGAAGTGGCGGCTTGTTCACCCGAACCGTGTTCACCTGAAGCAGCAGCCTGTTCATCTGAGGCGTGTTCACCTGAAGTGACGGCCTGTTCACCCGAACCACGTTCACCTGAAGCCGCGGACTGTTCACCCGAACCATGTTCACCTGGAGCAGCGGACGGTTCACCTGAAGTGTGTTCACCTGAAGTGACGGCCTGTTCACCCGAACCGTGTTCACCTGAAGGCTGTTCAGTTGAAGTGTGTTCACCCGAAGGCTTTTCTGCTGCAGATTTTTCACCTGAGGGCTGGTCTCCTGAAGGCTGGTCACCAGAAGTGTGCTCACTTGTGCCATGCTCACTGGAACCATGCTCAATTAACGCGTTCTCGCCTGATGTCTCATATAAAGCCTCGGCATCAGAAGGGTTTCCAAGTGGGAAGTATTCACCTGAAAGTTGATGAATCGAAGACTGATGGTCCATAGAGCCAGGAGGCTCATCAGGCTGACCTGATGCTCCTGGGATGGAGAAGGAAAGAAAAGAGATGGCAGAGATGAGGGAGAGAATTAAAGACTATTTTTCTTTAGAGAGAGGCTAGTTCAGCACACCTAGGTTTCCTGTGGGTCTAGATCAGGTACCCGAAGATAGTACAGATGCCAGGGGAAGTCAACTAAGTGCTCCAAGAGACCATGGGGGACAGAGACCACCTCTGGGATTGGAGGAAGAGTTTGAAGATACGTAATATTAACTGCACAGTTGGATCACTCAGTCTTGAACCAAAAGTGCCCGAAGGAAAATGAACTTGCCTCCCTGCTAGCACCAGAAAGTCCATGCACTGTCGCTCATGTCACTTCATTCTCCCACAACCCTCCCTCCAGGTCCTCAATGAGTGAAAGGCAAGAAGAGTGAGCAGAAAGCAGTTAGTTTCCAATGGCTGAGTAATTTTAGTCTAAATTGAGGGTGGAAGATTTTAAACTTTGTACAGAATAAACTATAGAAGATGACAAATACCTAATGAGCCCACAAGAATTATCAGAAGGGATTATTTTATTTGATAAGGTCGAGTTCTTTCTCATATTCAGCCCACAGTCCATACAGGTTGGGGAAAGCAGAGTTGCTATAAATTAAGATCAAAAAATTATTGGGTTAACGTCTTTGAGTTGAGATTCCTCGTGACATACTACTAACACCAACTTCATGGAGTTTTCAAGTGTTCTAGAAAATAAATTGTGGAGTACCTTGTACATTATTATCTAAGGACCAAATAGGACCAAATTAGTTTTGTTTTCTCTCCCCTCATTTTACACTAGGAATTGCAAAACTAAAAGCTTGTTACATAAATATCTGCTTGACTGGTTGTTCAGCAGTTAACTAAAGTTTTAACAAGGAGTTGTTTCTGATATACAAAGGAGGTTTGAAAAAGCATGTGAATTTCTTACTGGTTCTTAAGTTCACTGCTTTACCATGTGACTGACACATACTGCCATCTGGTGGCTGTGTATGTTTCTGAGCCAACTTTTCAGTCTAACAAAGCAAGCAGCTAAGTCTCTGAGATTTCACCAATAGTTCAGAGCTCATGCCTTCTCTGTCTCCTGCAGGATTCAGGAGGGAACACAGCCCGTACGGTTAAGAAATTCTGAGAGAGGAGATGCAGACAACTGGGTGGGTGGAACACAGCCATGCCAAGGCTTATAAAGTCTCTGACCTAAGCCCTGCTGTGTTCTGAGATAGCTTTCTGGACACATCACACCCTCATCTCTCATCTTTCCTTGGCGCATTACCTGCGCAGGATCTCTTACACATAGATGGAGGGATAAATCTTCACTGTACTTCTCCTGAACCCATAGGCCTATCCTCCTGTCTCACAGAGCATCAGATATGAATGTGGCATGGCTAGAGGGGTAGAACCAGAGCTGTGCCAGGCCAGTGGTCCCCTCCGACCATAAAACTCTAACTAGGAGAAATCAGCTGGTTTGGAACCTTTCCGAGTTGGGCTTGTTCAGTTACTCTTGATTCTGAGTCAGCTTGGTGTGAGTAGCTAAGAGCTCTGTCTTCCTTCTTCAAGGACTGAAACACCTTAAAGTCCCTTACATATCACCCAGAGCCTAGGTAGTAGAGGACTCACCTCTGGCGGATCCAAGCAGATAAAGACCCATAAGTAAGATAAACTTGTTCATCTGGATTTAGGGAGAGAGGGACCCTAGTGTAGGGCACCCAAGAGCTATGAAGAAACTGAGCAGAATTCTACAACTGTGAGCAGAATTCTAGAACCTCAGAGACAACCCATGTTTCCTCACAATGCTAAGGTCCTCATGTAATCTTTTCAGCCAGGCCAACCCATAATAACCAATGCCAATTCCACTAGTGAAGACTAATGGGTATTTTCTATGTGTAAGAAAGTGTATTGGGTTAATCTGCCCCATCTTAAAACCAAAAGCGTATTACCAAAATAATTTGTGTACTTTGTAATAAAGTTTAAGATGTCTTTTTAAAAAGTATCCTTGGCCCTTTAACTAGGTATGATTAGCTGGTTATTTTCTGTTTGGCTCTCTAAATCAGTTTTTCTTGGCCCTGATCTGTAGTCCAGAAGGTTCCCTCTGTTGACTTGATCACCTGAGTGCTGGTTGGATCTGCCTTCAGGTTGGGTTTGGCCAACGGAAGACTGGAGGGGAAGTGACAGAGGGCAGGAGAGGGAGAAAGGGAGAGGCTGGGTCTTTACATGGCAAAGCTCCTGTTGTTTGTCCTCCCTTCCAAGGCTTCAGCTTTTAACTAGGCTCTGGTAATGTGTTTTTCATCCTTGCCTCTCTGTCCTGGGGTTAATAACCATTTGTTACTGTTGCTGAAACCTGCATATTCTGATTTCCTTTTATTTTGTTTCCTTAACTCTGCCAACTTCTGTGAATAGTGTCTTCCTATGGGGTTAGATCGATCATGGTTTTGGCAGGAAACAGTTGACAAACTCAAATAGGTAAGTGCAGAGAGTTTACACAGATGCAGGCAAAGTAAAGGGATGAACAGGGGTAGTGTCTTGAGCAGTCATTTCATCACGGAGCAAAGTGAGAAGATGGCTGCCGAGAGGCATCCACCTGTTGGAAGTCCAGAACTCTTGGAGCGTTGGTTGGCAGAGATCCTCAGCTCCCGTCTCCTGCATCTTCCCTGACTCGCTCCCTTAACCCACCTTGTTACATGTACCACTGATGGTGCATCTAGACTATGTCTATCTTCCCTGTTATAATTATTTGCTTAATGTTAGTTTCCCCCACTGGACTCCAAACTTCTTGAATGGTGGGACTCTATTTATCTTGATCACCATTGTAGCCTCAATGCCCAGCAACACTGATTGTTACATAATAGTTTTTTTTTTTTTTTAAGATTTATTTATTTATTTGAAAGCCAGAGTACACAGAGAGAGGAGATGCAGAGAGAGAGAGTCAGGTCTTCCATCCACCGGTTCACTCCCCAATTTGGCCACAACAGCCAGAGCTGTACCGATCCAAAGCCAGGAGCTTCTTCTGGGTCTCCCACATGGGTGCAGGAGCCCAAGGACTTGGGCCATCTTCTACTATTGTGGAGCAGCTGGGTCTTGAACCAGCGCCCAAAGGGGATGCTGGCACTTCAGGCCAGGGCATTAACCCACTGCGCCACAGTGCCAGCCCCGTTTTTTTTTTTTTTTTAAGATTTTTATTTTTATTTGAGAGGTAGAGTTACAGACAGAGAAAGGGAGAGAGAGAGAAAGGTCTTCCATCCACTGGTTCACTCCTCAGGTGGCCACCGTGGCCGGAGCTGGGCCGATCTGAAGCCAGGAACCAGGAGCTTCTTTTGGGTCTCTTATGCAGGTGCAGGGGCCCAAGGACTTGGGCCATCTTCTACTGCTTTCCCAGATTATAAGCAGAGAGCTGGATCGGAAGTAAAACAGCTCAGACATGAACTGCCGCCCATATGGGATGCTGGTGCCACAGGCAGAGGCTTAGCCTATTACGCCTCAGTGCCAGGCCCCATAATAGGTTCTTTTTGTTTCTTTTTTTAATACAAGTACCATGCTGGTTTTACCAACATAGCTTTGTAGTATACTTTTTTTTAAAAAAGATTTATTTTATTAATTTGAAAGGCAAATTTTACAGAGAGAAAAGTAGACAGAGAGAGAGAGAGAGAGAGTTAGAGAGTTCTTCCATCCACTGGTTCACTCCCCAAATGGCTGCATGACTGGAGCTGAGCTGATCTGAAGCCAGGAGCCAGGAGCTTCTTCCAGGTCTCCCACAGGGGTGCAGAGGCCCAAGGACTTGGGGCATCCTCTGCTGCTTTCCAAAGCCATGGCAGAGAGCTGGATTGGAAGTAAAGCAGGTGGGGCTTTATCCAGTGCCCATATGGGATGCCTACACTGCAGGCTGGGGCTTTAACCTGCTGTGCCACACGCTGGCACCCATATGAGTTCTTAATAGATTTTCCCTGAATGAATGAATTGCCTTTTCTGGGTCTCTTTCTGCCTCGTGAAGAAGACTCTGTAAGGAGTCCCTAGTGTGGCCATGCTTAAGGCTCTGGGTCAGCTGAAGCAAGCAGGATCACCAGGGTCCTTCCCTACTTGACTGAGTTGGAGGATGAAACTAGGATTTCAGGCAGTGTGTGTTGGGTGGGGGGTGGGCTACTTGGTACAGCAGTTAGGATGCCACTTGGGTTTGAGACCCTGGTCTGCTTCCTATTCCAGTTTCCTGCTGATGCATCCCTTGGGAGGGAGCCAGTAGTTGGGCCCCTGTCACCAGGTAGTTGGAGCTCAAGTAGTTGAGTTTATGCCACCAATGTGGGTTGAGTATTGGGCACCTGGCTCCTGGCCCAGCCCTGGATATTGCAAGGATTTGGGGAGTGAACCAGCAGATGCTAGATTGATCTCTCTCTCTCTGCTCGCTGAATAAAAAATAAGTAAATAAACATTAAAAGAGGACTCCCAACCTTTAAAGAAAACAACTAGGATTTTGCAGCGTCTGGCTGGGCTTTCTATTATAGACAGAATCATGAAAGCACATGCTTTTTTCCATGGGGACTAAATTTGGAGAAACAGCTACGGGATCACATTGGATCAGACTTTCTTGGGTTGAAGCAGGAAAGGAGAACTGCTATCTATACAACCTACCAGCTGTTTAAAGCCTAGTGGTACAATTATCAGAATTTTAGGACTTCCCTACCTCATCTCTGGGTTTTCTCCAGACTGAGGTTGGCTTTAGAAGACTGGGTTGCAGTCCCACCTGGTCTGGCTTTCCCTGGGTTCTGGCTTGGAAACTTTCTCCCTGTGCCCAGCAGTCTAGCACTTCACACCCAGATCAGCCCCTGAGTCCACTGTGTATAAGAAGACAGTAGTTCCAGAGTATTCACTGGGACTTGAAGTGTTCTGAGCTAAGGCATCCAGAGGCATTCCAGCCCCTACCTCCTTCCTCTACTAATCTCTTCCATATTCCAGCTTCTAATGCCCCTAAATGAACCAAAGAATCAGTCAGCTCAGCCCTTGTGATTTTTGTGGCCTGGTTCAAAAAGATGAACTGAGTCTAATGGAGTCCTGTCATGGGAATTTATAGTTGTTGCACAGAAATAGAGACAACTAACTCTAGAGAGCGGAGTTGAAAGGTCATTTAGACTCACGTGCTAAGACCACTACTGAGGGCCAAAGGAAGGATGAGCCAGTCAATGAGTCCGGGGGATAGTAATAAACACGTGGGAGATGAGACATGTCATGCCTCCTTCAGTTTACTTTATTATTTTTAAAGGATTTATTTATTTATTTAAAAAGCAGAGTTACAGAGGGGCAGAGGCAGAGAAAGGAGAGAGAGAGAGGTCTTCCATTTGCTGGTTCACTCCCTCAGATGGCTGCAACAGCCAGAGCTGTGCCAATCTGAAGCCAGGAGCCAGGAGCTTCCTCCGGGTCTCCCACGTGAGTGCAGGAGCTCAAAGACTTGGGCCATCTTCCATTGCTATCCCAGGCCATAGCAGAGAGCTGGATCGGAAGAGGAACAGCCCGGACCCGAACTGGAGCCCATATGGGATGCCAGAACTTCAGGTGAGGGCTTCAACCCACTGCGCCACAGCACCGGCCCCACAATGTACTTCTCCTTCTCATCTTCCTGATGAGAACTCTTAACCCTTCACACACTCCCTAGGAAATCTCTTTTTTTTTTTTCAATTAAAGATTTATTTGTTTATTTGAAAGAGTTACACAGAGAGAGAAGGAGAGGCAGAGAGAGAAAGAGAGAGAGAGAGACAGACACAGGCCGGAGATGCGCCGATCCGAAGTCAGGAGCCAGGAGTTTCCGCCAGGTCTCCCACACAGGTATAGGGGTCCAAGGACTTGGGCCATCTTCCGCTTTCCCAGGCCATAGCAGAGAGCTCGATCAGAAGTGGAGCAGCCAGGACTCAAACCAGCACCCATATGAGATGCTGGCACTGCAGGCGGTAGCTTTCCCCACTACGCTACAGTGCCAGCCCCTGTGGGGAGCAACCCGGACTAGACTAAGTTACTGGAATTAAGACTTATTCTATGCATCTGCTCTCCCACAATATGGCGCTGAGAAGGGAGAAACAGCTTCTACGCAGCTGCCTCCAGTTCAACCAATAAACTGTAGGACCTGCTCCTGATTGGAGGAGAGCAGCGTACTCGGCGTGTGGGTAGCAGAGTTGGGATTGGTGGAAAAGGACTATAAAGGAGGAGAGAGACGGCATGCACCAGGAACATCTAAGGGGAACATCTGAAGGAACACCTGTGCAGCCCCCGAGAGAGCCGGCCGGCTGGCGGTGTGCCGCTCCCCCGTGGAAGTGGGGAAAGTGGCTAGGGGGAACCGCCCTTCCACGGAGGTGGAAGGGATGGTAGCCAACCCGGGAAGAACCAGCAGCAAACCCGGGGAGGGCCGAGCAGACAAAAGAACAGCGCAGGGTCCTGTGTCGTTCCTCCACGAAGACGGGGAGCGACAAGTCCCCTCCCTGGGAAATCTTATCCTTGTCAATCACCATCTATGAATTGAAGACTCTCCAATAATTCCAATCTGGTATTAGACCCCTCTCTCCTTAGCTTAGAGTCATATATTGTGTTACTAGATGGACGTTCCTATCTGGATATTCTCGATATCTCAGACTCAATGTTTGTAACATCATATTCATCATTTGCATCCCAGCTGTGTTCCTGGGACCTTTAGCTTGATAACTGTTACTGTCATCATCTCAGACACTAGAACCAGGA